TTTGTGGGTCTGGGTAATCTGAGGGAAATATGTGTCTCTAATATGGTCATACATTTGGCAGGAGGTTAGGAAGTGGAGCTCAGTTTCCACCTCATTTTGTGGGCAGTGTGCACATAGCCTGTCTTCTCTTGAGAGCCAGGTCTGCCTACGGCGGCCTTTCTCAATAGCAAGGCTATGCTCACTGAGTCTGGGTCAGTCACAGTTCTCTCTCTCTCTGCCTAACTATTACCTTTAATGAGAGCAGGTTGACAGAGACAAAGATAATCTGCACTGAAGTGTTAGACACTACATTGGTTTCCTTGAGGAGGAAAGGTAGAGCATGGCGCTTGCAACGCCAGGGTTGTGGGTTCAATTCCCACGGGGGGCCAGTATGAGAAAAACAAATTAATGCACTCACTAACTGTAAGTCGCTCTGGAAAAGAGCGTCTGCTAAATGACTAAAATGTAAAATGAGAGAGAGAGAGCGAGAGCGAGAGGCAGAGAGAGAAAGAAAGAGCCTGAAGGAGAGAGAGCACAAGAGAGAGAGAGCGCGAGAGAGAGACGAGAGAGAGAGAGAGAGAGAGAGAGAGAGAGAGAGAGAGACATACAGAACAAGAACACACAAACAAACACAGAGAGTCCAAACTCACAAACCTTCCTCTTTTTTTGGGGGGGGGGGGGGGGGGGGGGGGGGGGGGGGGTTACCAGAGATGTGTTCTGGGTTATGATGCAGAGTGGAGGGAGTCAAGAGGGAGCACATCCCCTAAACGGATGGTTTATTTATTTATGGAGCCGTGAACAGACAGGATTTGTATGTAAATACTTTAAATAACTATTGGAACATGTCGTGCCAAGGGTCCATTGAGTCTCAGTGCTGCTGCCCCAAGTGGGCTCCCTGAAGACTTGAAAGCTTTGGGTGTGATCTGCTGTTTGTTTATAGAAACTGTAATATAATTGTGGCTTTCCGAGGATCACACGAGAAGAGGAGAGGCATGGAGGAGGAGAGGAGGAGAGGCAGGGAGGAGGAGAGGAGAGGAGGAGAGGCAGGGAGGATGAGAGACAGAGAGACAGGGAGGAAGAGAGACAGAGAGGCAGGGAGGAGGAGAGAGAGATACAGGGAGGAGGAGAGACAGAGACAAGGAGAAGGAGAGACAGAGAGACAGGGAGGAGGGAGAGACAGAGAGGCAGGGAGGAGGAGAGACAGAGAGACAGGGAGGAGGAGAGAGAGAGAGACAGGGAGGAGGAGAGAGAGAGACAGAGAGGCAGGGAGGAGGAGAGACAGAGGCAGGGAGGAGGAGAGAGAGAGAGACAGGGAGGAGGAGAGACAGAGAGGCAGGGAGGAGGAGAGAGAGATACAGGGAGGAGGAGAGACAGAGGCAGGGAGGAGGAGAGACAGAGAGACAGGAGGAGGAGAGAGAGAGACAGAGACAGGGAGGAGGAGAGAGAGAGACAGAGAGGCAGGGAGGAGAGAGGAGAGGACAGGGAGGAGGAGGAGAGAGAGAAGGAGGAGGAGAGACAGAGGATGGAGGGAGGGAGAGAGAGAAGGGAGGAGGAGAGAGAGAGGGGAGGAGGAGAGACAGAGAGGCAGGGAGGAGGAGAGACAGAGGCAGGGAGGAGGAGAGACAGACAGGAGGTGGTGTTCTTCTTTGGTTCCTGTCTCTCTCTCTTTCTTCTTTTGGCGCTGTGCCCAAAAGCTGTCTTTCCCTTTCGAAAGCTTCTCCTCTTTCCTCTGCTGACACCATGCACTTTGCATAAGCACTCTTGTAATGCATAGTACAGTTTGTTCTCTGCAATGGGACTGTTAAGTAACGCAGAGTGGTAACTCACTAAGACTAATGTAGGCATGTTTATGAATATGACAACTATGAATATAATATAGGAAAAAATGTGTCCTCATAGTTCATATTCTCCCTCCCTCCCTCTCCCTCTCCCAGTGGACATTAAGCCAGAGGTACCTTTAGACCCTGTGTCTCCGTTGGACCTGCGTACAGACCTGAGGATGCTGGGGTCTGGCTCGGACCCGGGCGTGTGGGAGCGTCAGCTTCAGCAGGAGCTGCTCCTCATCCAGAAACAGCAGCATGTCCAGAAACAGCTGCTGATCAGCGAGTTCCAGAAGCAGCATGAGAACCTGACCCGCCAGCACCAGGCCCAGCTCCAGGAGCACCTCAAGGTCAGGACTACAACATTAACTATAGTATAGTAACAGTAGTATAGTATTAGTAGTATAGTATAGTAATATTAATAGTATGGTAACATTAGTATAGTACAGTAATATTATAGTAACAGTAGTATAGTACAGTAATAGTATAGTAACAGTAGTATAGTACAGTAATGGTAATAGTATAGTAACATTAGTATAGTATAGTCATAGTATAGTATAGTATAGTAATAGTAATAGTAATAGTAATAGTAATAGTATAGTATAGTATAGTATAGTATAGTAATAGCATAGTATAGTATAGTAATAATATATCAACAGTAGTGTACTATAGTAATAATATAGTATGGCACCAGGCCCAGCTCCAGGAGCACCTCAAGGTCAGGATCCCTCACAGTTAAACAGAACAATAGTATAGTAATAGTATAGTAACAGTAGTATAGTAATAGTAATATAATAGTATAGTAATAGTATAGTAACAGTAGTATAGTAATAGTATAGTATAGCATAGTAATAGTATGGTATAGTAATAGTATAGTAACAGTAGTATAGTAATAGTATAGTATATCGTAGTAATAGTATGGTATAGTAATAGTATAGTAACGGTAGTATAGTATAATAATAGTATAGTCTCACTCTCTCTCTCTCTCTCTGTCTCTCTCTCTCTCTCTCTCTGTCTCTCTCTCTTTCTCTGTCTCTCTCTCTCTCTCTCTCTCTCTCTCTCTCTCTCTATCCTCTCTCTCTCCTCTGTCTGTCTCTCTCTCTCTCTCTGTCTCTGTCTCCTCTGTCTCTCTCTTCTCTCTCTCTCTCTCTCTCTCTCTCTCTCTCTCTCTCTCTCTCTCTCTCTCTCTCTCTCTCTCTCTCTCTCTCTCTCTCTCTCTCTCTCTGTGTGTTAGCTGCAACAGGAGCTGCAGGCCATGAAGCAGCAACAGGAGCTGGTGGAGAAGGAGAGGAGGCAGCAGCAGCAGAGTCAGCAGGAGAAGGAGCAGGAGAGACATCGGAGGGAGCAGCATGTCCTCTGTCTCAGCCTCAGGGGCAAGGAGCGCACCAGAGAGAGTAAGAGCTCACCACCGAGTCCACTCACCACCGCTAACTCTCTGCCCAATCGCCGATAACTAACCTCCTCCCCAACTCAATTGATACTGCATATATAGGTAGATAGATGGCTCGTGAAAGAGATTAACCGATAACTAACTGCTAGTTTACCAACCACAACCTTGGAGGCAGCTAACTCACCTAGTGTCATTGTGGCTCTTTTATCATAATGGTAATGATTGTAACAGTGCAAGTATGTACACTGAGATGAACAACCAATGGGGAAACAAGCATTCTAATTTATGTAGTGACTAGTGATGACTACTGAAACCCTAGCCAAGGCTGTAGTAAATGGTGGTGACAAATGCCCCCACTAGCCAAGGCTTTTATTGAATAGTGGTGACTAATAAAACACACCCAAAGGTTTGTATTGAATAGTGGGACTAATAAAACCCCTACCCAAAGGCGGGTAGTAAATGTGGTGACAAATAAAACCACTACCCAAAGGCTGTAGTGAATAGTGGTACAAATTTGAAACCTAGCCAAGGCTGAAATGAATAGTGGTGACTAATAAAACCCCAGCCAGGGCTGTGTAAATTTATTGGGATTTAATTAAACCCCTACCCAAGGGCCCTGAGTAAATAGGGGGTACTAATGAAACACTAGCCAAGGCTGTAGTGAATAGGGGTGCAAATAAAACCACTACCCAAAGGGCTGTAGTGAATAGGGGATGACTACTAAACCCACCCCAAGGGCTGAAAGTGTAGTGATGACAAATGAAACCCTGCCAAGGCTGTGTGAAAAAAGGGGAGACAAATGAAACCCTAGCCAAGGCTGTAGTGAATAGGGGTGACAAATGAAACACTACCCAAAGGCGTAGTAAAAAAAAATTAAATTACTAATGAAAACCCCCCCCTCTAAGTAAATGGGGGGGGACACTAAAACACTGCCACACTTAGTGAATGGGTGAGGGAACTAATGAAAAAACTACCAAGGCTGTGGGTGAATGGGATGACTCTGAAACACTAGCCAAGGGCTGTAGTAAATAGTGATGACTACAAACACTAGCCCCCGTTTGTAGGGGAATATGATGACTAAAAACCCTACCAGCTGTGGGAATATGATGACTACTGAAACACTACCCAAAAGGCGTATTTGAATATGATGATCCTGAAACACTAGCCACCCCCTTTGTGAATAGTGATACTAATGAAACACTAGCCAAGGCTGTAGTGAATAGTGGTGACTACTGAAACACTAGCCAAGGCTGTAGTGAATAGTGGTGACTACTGAAACACTAGCCACAGCTGTAGTGAATAGTGATGACTAATGAAACCCTAGCCAAGGCTGTAGCTTGGACTTTATTGTTGCATGTTCTTCCCCCACTAGAGGGAGATGTTCCTACATTAGATGTGGATCTACTCAGAAAGATTAATTCTAAGAGAAATAAAATACCTGATAGTTGGTGTGCTAGGTTTATGGATAGTGTTAAACCAGACAATGTGAGACTCATATTTCAAAGCAATACAATGTGTGTATGTGATGAAAACATACTATAGAAATACTAAACTCAGTGTCAAACATTTCAATGGAACAATATGTGTGGATTTGATGAAAACACTATTGTAATACAGTGCTGTATAGATATACATTTGGTAGACAGTCACTGCATCCCCAATGGCACCCTATTATATTAATGTTTTGACAGAGGTAGTGCACTAGGAAGGGAATAGGGTGCCATTTGGGACACAGTGGCTCTGAGTCTGTACCCCCTGAGCCCCAGGGTGACCCCAATCCCTGTCTCTCTCTGACTGCTGGTCTCACAGGTGCTGTGGCCAGTAATGAGGTGAAGCAGAAACTCCAAGAGTTTCTGTTGAGTAAATCAAACAAGGACCTGTCCACTGCCGGAGCCACACACGCTCTCATCCACCACCCCAAGCTCTGGTACACGTAAGTACTCACTGTTGTGATTCTGTCTAGTAACTTGTTCCACTACCATAAAACTACTTTTGGGTTTCTGAAGCAAGCACACCATTTTTCTTCAGGAAAATGTACTTTTGTAATTCAAAACAATGTTTATATATTTATATTCAAGCGTACAGTGGGGAAAAAAAGTATTTAGTCAGCCACCAATTGTGCAAGTTCTCCCACTTAAAAAGATGAGAGAGGCCTGTAATTGTCATCATAGGTACACATCAACTATGACAGACAAATTGAGAATTTTTTTTCCAGAAAATCACATTGTAGGATTTTTAATGAATTTATTTGCAAATTATGGTGGAAAATAAGTATTTGGTCACCTACAAACAAGCAAGATTTCTGGCTCTCACAGACCTGTAACTTCTTCTTTAAGAGGCTCCTCTGTCCTCCACTCGTTACCTGTATTAATGGCACCTGTTTGAACTTGTTATCAGTATAAAAGACACCTGTCCACAACCTCAAACAGTCACACTCCAAACTCCACTATGGCCAAGACCAAAGAGCTGTCAAAGGACACCAGAAACAAAATTGTAGACCTGCACCAGGCTGGGAAGACTGAATCTGCAATAGGTAAGCAGCTTGGTTTGAAGAAATCAACTGTGGGAGCAATTATTAGGAAATGGAAGACATACAAGACCACTGATAATCTCCCTCGATCTGGGGCTCCACGCAAGATCTCACCCCGTGGGGTCAAAATGATCACAAGAACGGTGAGCAAAAATCCCAGAACCACACGGGGGGACCTAGTGAATGACCTGCAGAGAGCTGGGACCAAAGTAACAAAGCCTACCATCAGTAACACACTACGCCGCCAGGGACTCAAATCCTGCAGTGCCAGACGTGTCCCCCTGCTTAAGCCAGTACATGTCCAGGCCCGTCTGAAGTTTGCTAGAGTGCATTTGGATGATCCAGAAGAGGATTGGGAGAATGTCATATGGTCAGATGAAACCAAAATAGAACTTTTTGGTTAAAAACTCAACTCGTCGTGTTTGGAGGACAAAGAATGCTGAGTTGCATCCAAAGAACACCATACCTACTGTGAAGCATGGGGGTGGAAACATCATGCTTTGGGGCTGTTTTTCTGCAAAGGGACCAGGACGACTGATCCGTGTAAAGGAAAGAATGAATGGGGCCATGTATCGTGAGATTTTGAGTGAAAACCTCCTTCCATCAGCAAGGGCATTGAAGATGAAACGTGGCTGGGTCTTTCAGCATGACAATGATCCCAAACACACCGCCCGGGCAATGAAGGAGTGGCTTCGTAAGAAGCATTTCAAAGGTCCTGGAGTGGCCTAGCCAGTCTCCAGATCTCAACCCCATAGAAAATCTTTGGAGGGAGTTGAAAGTCCGTGTTGCCCAGCGACAGCCCCAAAACATCACTGCTCTAGAGGAGATCTGCATGGAGGAATGGGCCAAAATACCAGCAACAGTGTGTGAAAATCTTGTGAAGACTTACAGAAAACGTTTGACCTGTGTCATTGCCAACAAAGGATATATAACAAAGTATTGAGAAACTTTTGTTATTGACCAAATACTTATTTTCCACCATAATTTGCAAATAAATTCATTAGAAATCCTACAATGTGATTTTCTGGAGAAAAAAAATCTCATTTTGTCTGTCATAGTTGACGTGTACCTATGATGAAAATTACAGGCGTCTCTCATCTTTTTAAGTGGGAGAACTTGCACAATTGGTGGCTGACTAAATACTTTTTTTCCCCACTGTATGTCACTGTTCGCACACAAACCAAGATTTTCGACAAAAATAATATTTTTTTCCTCTCAAATAATTGAGTAGATACTTCCTGGTCGTGCTGGATGTGACATGTTGTGGCGCTGTGTGCTCTGTGTCCAGGTCCTCCCACCACACATCTCTGGACCAGAGTTCTTCTCCCCTGGGAGGCATGTCTCCTGTCTGCCACTACACACACCCCTCCCCTCAGGACGGCAAGGATGACTTCCCCCTGAGGAAAACTGGTACGGCCACACACACACACACACACACACACACACACACACACACACACACACACACACACACACACACACACACACACAGATAAAATGTTACTTGTCACAGGCGCGGAATACAACAAGTGTAGATCTTACAGTGAAATGCTTACTTACAAGCCCTTCCCAACGATGCCAAGTTAAAATAAGAAAATAAAAACACAACAGCAATAAAACACACCAGAATTAAACTATATACAGGGAGTAGCAGCACCATAGCAATGTGCTGGGGTACGAAGTAGTTGAGGAAGGTACATAGGCGGGGGTAAAGTCACTAGGCATCAGGTTGAAATCGAGGTTAGTAACCGACGATCTGATGTCCAAAAGTGCTTGGCGGTAATAGGTGATAATAGTACGAACTTTCTGTACCAAAACAAAGGAAAGATAAACACAAAAAAGGTCTGGACGGAACTCGTAAGACGGCGACCATGTCGTGTACAAACACACACACTCAACCACACACACCAGCATAAATGTACCACGCTCAACCACAATCAAACTATTTCTAACACTTAGCTCCAAATGTACTGCAGGACATTCCGAAGTCGGTTATATCCTTCTATTGTCCTAAGTGTCTACGTTAACATATATGTGGATAAATCCTTTAACAGACATCTTGTCCTCAACCAGTATGTGTCTGTCTGCAGGCTGTTACAATTACCTTCCATGAATGGGTTATTAATACAATGAATGTGCTGTGACCTCTGTCATCCCAGGGTTACCTCTGTGTATCCACACAGCATTTCCTGACCATACTGATGACCTGCTAATGACATCAGTTAGGCCTATTATGACCTTTGAACCCCCACCCCGCCCCCAAGGCCCCTCTCACCCCTCGTACCCCTTCAGGGGACCCCTTACTCAAATAATGGGGAGAGGTTACGAGGTAAGCCAGAGCAGTAATAGCTATCAGAATCCTTCCCTCCCATTTGACCTCTCCTAACACAGAGCAAAACGTATGCATCACCAACAGAGCACTAACACACACTGTTGGAATGATAATACAAAATATTGTTGATGATGTTATAAATTGTGTGTTCCTTTCCTCACAAAGACATATGCTACAATACTGTTCCCTGAGAACTAACTCCAATCTTTATTTATTGTGTTATTAACGGTAATACACAGACAAAGGCCTAGGCCTCACTGTTAGGGCGTCTCAGTTGAACAGTTAATGGAAGACTTAAAACACCTTTAATTTCTCTAGAGTTATGAGCTCCACTAACTCTTTTGAAAACACACAACTTGTCAGCAAAAGGCAGCTCAGGTTTGTTGGTTTAAAGCTGAGGATCTCTCTAGGGAGCTCTGTATAAATAAGAATTATACCTCCCTCTTCGTTTCGCTGCGCCACAAGTGCTTGCCAAACCTAAAACTGTTCATAATTTTGCCGTGAGGTCACGGAAATGACATTACATTCTTTCCCTTTTGTGTCTCGTCGAATTACGACGGTAAACAATTATACCTGTTTAATGACTTTACCGCCTGAGCTGGCATGTTGTGTATAAACACAATTTAGAGATCAGGCTAGGATAATTATATTGTCTGTTTTTTGGTACTTTGTAATATACATTTAAGCTAATTTGTAGTCATTGTGGAGACTGGTTAAAATAAGAAGGAAATACCTCCTCTGTCTCTGTTTCTCTCTGGTGACATACCTGTAAACCTAGGAGGTTAGGGGTGGCCTGCAAGTCCACATAACCAGTTGCCAAAGTATAATAATGTGCCTCGTCCAAATAAGAGGGTTCCCAGAAATTATCTTGAATTTGGAGTATGGTGTATTACCATCAATGCTTTAGCCTAGGTTTACCTTTGACACAAGCTGCAAAGAAACAGCACATTTATGAACACTAAAAAAACTCTCCCTGACCTACATTTTTGCAGCACTAAATTATAAAAATCTTTTTGATCTTCCTTTTGGATTATCAATCATCTCTGTCTCTCTGAGTAATTCTTATGCATTGATAAAAGCCCCTTACAAAAACATATCCTGCCCTTTGGATTCTAGAATCTATATGTGGTCATTTCCTGTGTGAGGCCCCTTCCAGCCCCCCCCCCCCCCCCCATTTTCTGTCCGTCTTCATTAAAGTCCTCTGAGAGGTTGGCACGCAAGGGGGGGACACAAGGGTTGTGTTGTTGCTGGACACGTTGTCCGTCATGGACAGCTGACAGTGTGACAGGCAGGTGTCACTGAGTTAAGTGGACTGTAGCTGGGCAGAAGGAACTAAGACACCACTGTTTGTTTAAGCAAAGATAGCCTTCTGAAAACAAAGTGGAGAACACTTTACAGGTCTGGGTTACGTCCCAAATGGCACCCTATTCCCTATATAGTGTACTACATTTGACCATATAGGGAATAGGGTGCCATTTGAGATGCAGTCTGGGGGTTTGACTACCTGTTTTTTAGCTTGGCTGGCCGTAGGGTCTAACACCTTCTTTTTGGGGGGGAATGGCAGTTGTGGTGAAACTGGAAACTTTTTACTTTTATGATTTTCTTTGAAACTAGCCACTTAGCCAATGCTCCTATGCCACACCTGCCCTGCTTCTCTGTTGGATAAGTCAAGAGCTACTGTTCACAACAAAGATTAAATAAACAATAGTTGCTTTTTTCTTTCCGATGTTTTTTGCTTCAACAGCCACATGCCTTATGCATGCCCTTGAAAGTCACAGAACCTTTGTCTCGGTTTGGACGATGCCGTTCGGAAGCCTATTTGAAAAGGATCAAACACACTTCATTTGACAGGCTATGAAATATGAATTGTTGTTGTTGTTGATGCATTTATATTGCACTGGGAGATAGGGAGCCCAGGTGCTCCTGTGTTATTCCATCTACTGTACCGGTACTACTTTGATCCTGAACTTTCAGAAACTGTTTGGTCACTTTACTAGCGTGCAGAAAATAGATGTTATTTTTCGACAGAAGAAGTGGACTGACTACTAGACATGGTGGTTGTTTCAGTCTATAGACGTCAGTTCAACGTTTATTCCACGTTGGTTCAGCCGGTGTGTGCCCAGTCCTTATCTCTTCTTCATGGCGTTCCACCAACATACTTATTATTGGCGTTCCACCAACATACTTATTAAGGTCAAGGCTATTTAAGCACTAAACCAATAAGCATTACAAATGTTTCCTCTCCTCTGGAATCAGTCCATGTTAGGCTTCTCTAATCACAAAAGGCCTAGCGGATTCATCATGCTTTGATCACAAGACCGTCCCTTGAATACGTCCTTGACTCCCCCCCAAAAAAAGCATTTTATTCCACAGAGGAATATAATTCCACGTGATAAACTTGTTTACTTGACCATATATCCTCTTTGTGCCATGTCCAATGTCTCAGAATAGACGGGGCTCAGGGCACGTGATGCCCCGGGCCATGGTAAGAACAGCCTGGCTTAGTGGAAAAGAGAGGTGCAACACCCTCGTCTCCAGTCTTGACCCACTTACCAAATGTGTGCAGCAGGTGCAGTGGAAGGAGGATTTCACATTGCTTTCTGAAACCAGGGGGATATTTTAAGGCCTGGATGCCTGGAGGAAAAGTAACCCTCTCCTTGTACCTCCCAGTGGTGAGAAAATGATCCGCGCTAATTTCAATAGTAATAGAATCAAAACGGGTGAACAAATTTAGATTTGTCTAGACTATAAGTACCGTAGAATGTCTTATGAACAGGGGAAGAATCTGGTTCTTTATCAATACAGATGTAGAAGGTTTCATAACTCCATATCTCTGAAAACTACAAGATATCTTTGAGTAGAGACAATCCTGGACTTGTAGATGTAATACCCTTTTCACACTTCTGACCCAAGCTGAGCCGAGCTGTATTTCTGACCCAAGCTGAGCTGAGCTGTATATCTGAGCCAGCTGAGCCGAGCTGTATATCTGACCCAAGCTGAGCCGAGCTGTATATCTGAGCCAGCTGAGCCGAGCTGTATTTCTGACCCAAGCTGAGCCGAGCTGTATATCTGAGCCAGCTGAGCCGAGCTGTATATCTGAGCCAGCTGAGCCGAGCTGTATATCTGAGCCAGCTGAGCCGAGCTGTATATCTGAGCCAAGCTGAGCCGAGCTGTATATCTGAGCCAGCTGAGCCGAGCTGTATATCTGAGCCAAGCTGAGCCGAGCTGTATATCTGACGCAGCTGAGCCGAGCTGTATATCTGACCCAAGCTGAGCCGAGCTGTATATCTGACCCAAGCTGAGCCGAGCTGTATATCTGACCCAAGCTGAGCCGAGCTGTATATCTGACCCAAGCTGAGCCGAGCTGTATATCTGAGCCAAGCTGAGCCGAGCTGTATTTCTGACCCAAGCTGAGCCGAGCTGTATATCTGAGCCAGCTGAGCCGAGCTGTATATCTGAGCCAGCTGAGCCGACCTGTATATCTGAGCCAGCTGAGCCGAGCTGTATATCTGAGCCAAGCTGAGCCGAGCTGTATATCTGAGCCAGCTGAGCCGAGCTGTATATCTGAGCCAGCTGAGCCGAGCTGTATATCTGAGCCAAGCTGAGCCGAGCTGTATATCTGACGCAGCTGAGCTGAGCTGTATATCTGAGCCAAGCTGAGCCGAGCTGTATATCTGACGCAGCTGAGCCAGTACAGAACGCTTCAGGTTTGTACGATAGTATGAAAAGGGTATAAAAGTAAGGCCTTTTAGCCAACAGCACACAGTGCCCCAACATATAGTATTTCTGTAAGGCTCAGTCCCAAATGGCACCCTATTCCCTACATAGTGCACTACGGGCCCTCTGGGCCTGGTCAAAAGTAGTGCAGTATGTTGAGAATAGAGTGCCAGTCTAAGAGTCCCCCTAGGCAGCCACCTGGCCTTGTCTTGGTCCGGCAGCCTAGTGGAGACAGGTATCACACTGACAGCAGGGTTAACATTGAGATGGAGTGGAGACAGGCATCACACTGACAGCAGGGTTAACATTGAGATGGTGGAGACAGGCATCACACTTAAAGCAGGGTTAACATTGAGATGG